AAATTCACTAAATATAGCAAGGGAGTGACTAAACAGCAACACAGTTGCTAAATATAGCATCAAAGTCACTAAACATGGCAACAAATCCACCAAATATAGCAACAAAGTCGCTAAACATAGCAACAAATTCACTAAATATAGCAACAAAGTCAGAAAGTGACAAAGTTAAAGGCTCAGTTATTCAGAATTTGAGACGGCTGCTGCTTCATAATAAAGCTAAACTCGAACTTATCTTTTCAGGCCGTTTTTCATTCAGACTCTTTAGCTAATAATTCACAAGCAATCAATGTTTGGACAAATATGGACGGTTGTCTTCAGCCAGTGTGGCTTCAATCTATAATTTGAGGCAGTCACAACACTATAGCCTACTAAAAGGAACCCCAAAAACATGTGACAAACTCCGGCCGCTCGTTGGGTTTTGGGCCACAAATCCATCAATATCATTTTTGTGTTTCCATGCTCAAATCTTTAATGTTTTAATGTAATCCCAAAACAACAAATCATAATCTTGTTGACATTTTTCTTTAAACAAACAAGCTGATGCACACAGCTTTGCAAAAAACACAGAAAAAGTCCTGTGAAAACTTTAGGTGAACGTCCAGGTTCAGAGCAAAGCTGCAGCTGGTTAATGGACTGACTAATTGTTTTAGCTCCGGGGCAGGGTGCCAGCTCAGGGTTGGCTTCAGGTAATTAACACAAAACCGCACATGGAACGACAACAATGTTGTCAGATGAGGTTTGCTTCTGTTGCCTCGTACAATCTCACACGACAGCTACCTTCTGAAACTAATTGTTTTATTTTAACTCCATATATTTCTTACAGACCAACTGTCACAACATATCAAACATATTTTCTTTGAACAGGAAGCAACAAAACCTGAGAAAACTGAGGCCAGACATCCAAACGGCTAAGTTTGAAGGGCTTTTCCCTTCGTTTTCCCAGATTTTATTATCATAAAACACCACTGGATCCTGCTTTTGTTTCACAGCTCCAACATACCAGTCATACCTCTGGGAAGAGCCACCTGAGGCCAGCAGCTCGGGCCGGGATCAGGCTGAGGCCGGCTGGAAAAATGCTGGAATTACAGGTTACAACAGGACCCAAACGACACCTGCGGTCATTAAGCAGCTAATGGAGGGGAAGGCAGGTATCTGCCGCCCTCTAGTGGCAGAAAATAAGAACAGCAGCTTCAGGCCAGTCAAAACTCTGCAATCTATGGGATTTACTGCTTCATTTGACTAAACCTTTCAGATTTTATTTTAAAAAATTAATCAGTTTTACAAGTTTGAGGTTCTTAAAGGTATTATTTCGGGTTTTGTTCTGTTTTTAATTTAGGGGTTTATTCATTTGATGCCATATTTGTGGGAGCAGAGCACTTTCATCCTTCTACTTTAACGTATTTTATATATTTTTTTGGCGCCGAAGTTTTAGAGAAGTGATGGAACAAAAAGAATGAAGGGCCTTCTGGATTATTTAGTCATTTACCAAAGTAAACAAAGGTAAAACCGCTGGTGTAGTTACTTTCATTAGTCTAAATATTGACCATTAAAGTGTTTCAGTATTGAAACTGAAACTGAATCATCTAAATCAATTTATGATTTTCACAGCTTTCAGCCTTTGATGTAAAATGACTAAAAGAGCCACCGATTGAGTATTGACACCATAAATCTGACTGGATCCAGCAGGGAGCAGCAGAGCTCTGCAGTCCCAGCCCATCCTCTCTCATCTGAAGGATCAGTTTGACTATTTGGAATAGAATATAAAAGCTGTCCAGATAGACATCAGAGAGAGCTTTCTTTCACATGCTGTTCTAAGGTTCAGTTTTATTCATAAAGCAGCAAATCACAAACAGGACGAACAAAAGATGCAGATCAGGGACATTTATTATAATGAAGTTACGATTCAATCCAATTAAATTAATTCAATTTCAGATTCATTCAGGGCCAATTTAAAAAGTTTCCTCTCTAAGAACAGATTGTTCTGGACTTCTCTCGAAGCAGACAGAGCAGAGGTGCATCATGGGAGACTCCAGCAGAACTATGGGGTGTTTCAGGGTCTCTGAGAGTCTGTAACTATCAGCTTTATCAGACAGGAAAGTCTGATCTTAAAGTTTGGTGAGGAGGGGTCTGCTTCCTGAACCCAGACTGGTTCTTCAGACCAGAACTTCAGGTTCTTTTCTGGATCCAGAACTCTGCTGCAGCTTTTTGGATCAGCTGGAGGCTCTGATAGAGTTTCTGGGTCAGAACAGAAACACATAACCAGCAGAACCAGTGATGGAGCAGCTTTTCTGCTCCTATTAGACTGGACTGACTCATTCTGGGTCATTATGGGGGGAGACAGAGCTCCGACAGGCTGGTTTCCTGATCTGAACCTCAGACTGTCTGAGTCCTGGATGCTGCCCTCTGATGGGGATTACACATCTGGCTGAGTCAGACAGATGTGTCAGCAGGTGAAGCGGCAGCGCTTATCCCACAGCCCGGTTAATGTGCCCCCCCCCCCCCGAAGCCTCTGTCCCACTTTCCCCTCTGCTCTGCTTTCAGAGGCAGGTGTTCTCACACATACAGTAGAACCTCTACATAGGAATGTAATGTTGGTTAAAATATTCCTATCAGAATACGCTGTAATTCCTATAATTCATTCCACAGCCCCAAAACCTACAATAACTCCTTAATAAATACTGCAGATAATTACACATAGCAATAAAACAAATGCACTATATAAGAGAGATGTAAAAATAAATAAATTATAAAGAAATAATCAACAAAAAGGGGTTTTATTGCTACTTTACCTCAGAGAGGTATTAGAGCCTCTTTTTAGATAAAAGCATCTAAATGCAGAAATGTAAAATGTTAAGATTATTTTCGTTCTACATTTAAATTTGTGCTTCCAGCAGACGCTTTTATCTAAAGCGACCTACAAAAAGATGGTTTAATATTAAGGATTTAACATTCAGGTACACAAGTAACCACACATTGACGCTACAGACACTCTGGAAGAGAGTCTATCTATCTATCTATCTATCTATCTATCTATCTATCTATCTATCT